CCAGGAGTGTGGTGCTCCCCTCCCCCCCCCAAAATAACACAAATGTTATTGTTGTTTTTTTGGTGTGTGGTGGTGGTGGTGTGTGTGTGTTGTTTTTTTTCTTGGTGCAATGCCTCTTGACTGTCAGTTTATGGTTTATTTTGTCATCTCTGTTTTCAACAGGATTGACTCAGTTCTAGGCTAGTGTTTACAGGACTTCCACACTCATTGTGAAGCCCCTCGAGAGTATGTGGGACAGGGTGAAGGGAGAAGTCTTAACTGAACAGAGGAACTCTGTGCTGCTACAGCCTTAAGACACCTGGACCCACCCCGGGGGGGCCCTGTGGCAGCTGCTCTCTCGTCTCCGCTGTTTACGTGTGTTTCTTCCCTGATTCAAGTGCACTTTCTTAACTGTGGTGACCTTGTGGTTTTTCTGTGAGCCAGGTATCTATGTTTACATGTTCTCATCCTGCTTAACTTGATGTGAAAGTATTTCTACTTGGAAGTATGTATTTCAGACTTGGCATACCAATCGATGTGCGTAGAAGTGAGTACCCAAGCGATGTATTTGAGCCCTGGCCGGTTCGGCTCAGTGGATAGAGCATTGGCCCGCGGACCAAAGGGTCCCGGGTTTGAACTCCGGTCAAGGGCACGTACCTCGGTTGCAGGCCTGATCCCGGCCTTGGTCTGGGCAAGTGCAGGAGGCAACCAGTCGATGTCTCTTTCTCTCTCTCTCTCTCTCTCTCTCTCTCTCATCGATGTTTCCTTCTCCCTCTGTCTCTCTCCCCCTCCCTTCCACTCTCTCTAAAAATCAATGGGAAAACGTCCTCAGGTGAGGATGAACAACAACCACAAAAAAGTTATTTATTTGAAAATGTCTCTATCAAGGATATATCGTATGATGTTTATGTAGTAAAGTAAATATTGAGCTGGAAGCTAAAGGTCACAGGCTAACAGAAATTCGCTGTTGTGTGTGAGTGTGAGGTGGTGAATAATTCTTGTGTTCCTTCCACAGGCGTCAGTGGTTAGCATCTGTTGAAAAAAGCTATTCAGACGGATCTGGCCAAATACGGCACAGATCCTAAAGGACTTGCTAAATAGGCCGTTGGTTATTTCTGTGGTGGCTTGACTAGCTCACTCTGCTGTTACCAATAAAGAAATGTGTGTTTACAACCTTCTCATTTTTCCTTATTACAGCACAATTCTGGACACAGCTCTCTGTATTCCATATTTTGTGTTATCTCTAGACATTCCGCACGAGGGGCTTTGGACAGACATTTTCAACATGTCACTGAAAAGCTTTTCAAAGAGCAAGTAGAAAAATTAAAAAAAAAAAATTGAAACCAGTCAGAGTACAAGATTGGAAAGGCAAAAAAAATTGAAATCTAGAAATGAACAAAAACGAATTAAATGCAACAGTCATGTCAAAAGTTTAGAACACAAATACCCCATAATTAGATTGCATGAGCATGTTTTAGCAACTAACAGCCACAGTTTGCCAGCCTTAATTATAATGAAAATGAAACTCTATGCTCTTTAAAAGACACGGCTAGAATGTAAGAATACAGGAACATTAAAAGCGATAGCATAAAAAAGAAATCGATCCAACAAGGAGGCTGTGCCTTCTTATCGACAAAGTGTATATTAAGGATAAAAGCATCCCTGGAGATAAATACGGACGGCATAGAATTCAGTTAAAATGTGCCAGGAAGATAAAACTACCCCAACTCTGTAGTCATTTAATAATAACCCAGCATCAGATGCACAAATAAATAATTGGTAAGAACAGAAAAATTACAGTGTTTGCGTGAACAGTTTTTGAAAGTCTTTTCAGTAACAAACAAGGAAAGAATGTAAGGTGAGCACAGGGTTTTAACCATTGAGTGGACCTGTCTGAATTCACTGAGATTGCTCTCCTGTGGGCCGACGGAGCTGAAAATACGCATCCCAGGAGATTAGGCATCGCACGTATTTGCAGAGCTTCTACCATGTGTGCTTAGCACTCCACAAAGCATGAGTTTAGTTCCCAGAACCCCCCATCTCCCCCTTACTGTGTTTTTTTCTCATCATCCTGATGAGTCCAAGAGGTGAAATTACTTGCTGATATCACTGTGGCCTATGGGTATAAGTTACCTGTAGGTACTCAGTGTATTTCCAGGCCACAGACACCGTGAGCCCCCACCTACATGGCCACGAGCAGGTGGGCCACATGACCCTGGCTACCAGAAGCACACCTGCAGTCTCTGAGGAGGGATGGTGTGCCAGGTGGGACAAAGGGGGCCGTCACGAAACTCCAGGAGAGTGCGGCAGTCCTGGGCTTTCTCTGTGGGCCGCCAGACGCAGTGTTTCTTTACGCTGCCTCTCCCCTGTGACGTGACGCCAACGAAAAGTCAGTATTCAGCCTGTTTCCACTGTGACTCTTGCCATAGCCCTTCCCTCTTGATTCCTTCTTATCCCAGAGAGTTCCCCCATCAGGAGGCCCTGGTTGCCCGGCTGTTACTGGCATGCAGGGTGAGTGGTTCGACGTGAGATCTAAGCGTGTGCCCACCCCCAAGGACTGAGCCGATGCCAAAGGCTCAGTGAGCTTTGAGCGGTGGCTAAGCCATCAGGGGGATTTTTAAACAGCCTGGAAAGCTCGGAGAACTTTGTTCTAACGAACGCTACCTGATGTTGTGAAATGCCACGGTTTTTTATTCCCATAGAATCTTGCACCAGATAACAATCATGACATTCAGGAGGGGCCGTGGGACCTGGGTCCCGTACTCTGCAGGGGTGTTGTGAGGATCAAGCATGATTAGGCAAGGAGCTTGAATCCTGTGGTATTGTTTAAAGCAGCAATTTTGAAAGTGGGACTTAGGTATGCTTGTGGACCTGAACAGAGCTGACGCAAGAATTGACAGTCCACTACTTTTTTTTTTTTCTTTTTCTTTTTGGGAACCTTTGGAACTGGAATTAATGTAACATTATTATTTTATTATTATTTTCATAGAAAGGGGGCTCATTCCCTTTTGGCCATCATTTCAAAGAGGCCCGAGTAATTCTCACCCCCAGCAAAAGCCATCCAAGTAGAACTAAAATGCGATTCTATTCCTGAAAATATACTACACAACAAAAATGTTTCCTTTAGGATGGATGCCTACCTGAGTCAACTAAGAAATAAGATGATGTGTACCAATAGGAAATTTCCTGTCCCTCATCAGCTCCATCAGAAAGAGCTTAATTGGTAGGGATGTCACTGACCCCCAAGGCTGGGTGACATGTCCCCAGGGTCCATCCATGGAGACAGCTGGCCACCCTTGTTGGGGTCAGGAAGAAAGGACCCTTCCCCCCACACACAGAGCTTTGCTCTGAGGGATTCAGAAAGGGTGTGGGCCCTTCCTCCGTGAGGACTCATACACTCAGCCCTGGGGTCTGTACAGAAGATTTGATTGTAACCACATGAAAAATGCCCGGGTGAAGCAAGCCTGACTTGCCCACCCTGGGTGTGTCTCAAGTTGGTAGGTGTATAGACGTACAAAGACGCTAAAACTTTATGTGGTACTCTCTCCTCTCGAAGCCTCGCCCATCATTGTTTGATGGGTGGAATTTCAGTGATGGGAAGGGAAATATTTCCAGTTCATAAACTTTTTTTTTTATAAGTTTTGTGAACATTTTTTGGGGGAGGCTGGTCTCTGTTTCTATAGATGATGCTAAAGTACAACCCTCCCCATAGAAGAGAGCTGGGGTGTAGATGGGGAGAGGGGTGCTTGGGAAATGGCCCAGCACTAGTGCCAGAAAAAATACATCAGACTTTTTACCATGAAAATGTAGACTAAATTCCATTTTCCATGTTGAATGACAGCTAACAAAAATAATTGTATTCGGTCACAATGAGCCTGTCAATTGAGATCGAGAAATTAGTAGTATAGGCGACATTCTCTGATGTCGATACAAGGAAATAAGCGACCGCCACATGACAATTCTTTTAAGTATCTCTCAGAAAAAATTTGGTCAAAGAATGAATGAATGCAGAATCATTCAGCAAGATAGAGTAATTAAAAATGATGCACGCCGTGATCTACAGGATAGTGCTGGTCTGTGCTCAGAGTGAAACCAAATTTAAATACGATACAAAATGCATTGCCCAGAAAGACCAATTACGTAATAAAATAAGTATCCAAATCTGTAAACTTTAAAGACAAAACAACATACATGCAAGCACGCACACACACACATAATCAGAAACAAGATTAAAGCAAAAATTAGTGGGTGAGGAAACAGGAATGTAAAAGCTGCTTCTTTGGAAGAAAAAAAAAACACCCCAAAACAGATAATGTAGTAACTTGACCAAAAGTTAAAGGAGAAAGTACAGCTGTCCCTAAGGAAGACATCTGTATGACTTTCAGCTGCTTCCAGGCTACAGTTCTGAAAGGTCACACGTAAGCAGGACGTAGCCGTACCTGGTGGTCAGCTACTTTCTAGACAGTTGCCCGGAAGTTGTTGGTTCAAAGCCCCAGCATTCATTGTCTGAAGCCGGACAGCATGGAT